TATGTTTTCTCTCTTAAATTTTGCTTCGTCTATCTAATTCCTCTCCCTTTTCTATATCCCCCCTCTTCTTTTCTTCTCTCCTTGTTTCCCTCTCCCCTTCTCGCATCCTACGTCATTGTTAAATTGATGCAAAATACTCTCTTCATATGCATGTGCTTGCTTTGTTCATAAGTTTGATGTTGAAGTTCTAGTTTCTGTAGGTATTTTGAAGAAAGAAATGTACTTTATCTATGACTCTGTCATTTTAGTTCATTTGTCCTTTCTCTCTCTTTAGACAGTGTGTCAGTGTTTATGAATGAGGTCCTGTTCAATTGACTCGCATCTACATATGTTGGAGCTTGTTTATTAGAAAGAGGTTCTCATTTCACTACCAAGTTAGTCTACTAACAATTTTTTTTTCCTTTAACATTTTAGGCACACGGGAGTTGTGGTTTATGGTAATGAATACTATTTTGGAGGTGGCATACAGTATGCTCCTGCTGGAACAACACCGTATGGCACTCCAATTCGTGTTGTAGATCTTGGTGACACACATGTGCCCAAAGATGTATTTGAAATGTATCTACAAGAGATTGGCCCTCGATATACTGCAGAAACATATAGTCTGCTAACTCATAATTGCAACAACTTTAGCAATGAGGTGGCACAGTTTTTGGTTGGTGCTTCCATTCCAGACTACATTTTGAACCTCCCCAATGAAGTTTTGAGCAGCCCAATGGGTGCTGTCATATGTAAGTTTTGTGACCATCCTTATTACCAATACACTTATATAGTATAGCTGGTTCACATTTCTAGCTCTTGATTGAGGGGAAGGGGGTCTGGAAATGGGGAGAGCTGTCCCCTTGTCCTTCCATAGACCAAAATAAATCTATATCTGTTCTTTCCCTTTGGCTTGTCTATTAGAGTGGAAATGGGGGGAAGAGGATTGAGGGGATTGACTGCTTCAAAAGAAAGAAAACATTTTCTCTGCTTTTTGGTTGGATGGATGAGAAACGAGAGGGGAGAAAAATCATGATTTCACCAATATATCCTTGCATCTTCTATAGAATATGGACAGAATGACAGAGAAAAATGATTGCACCATTTTGTTGTCCATCTTTTGTAGGATATTGTCCCCAAAAGAAA